TGCAAGTCTCATGCCCTCTTTCTCGGTGCAGCATCCCCTCGCCGTCTCTTCGATTCGCGCAGCCAGGACCGCTCACTGGAAGTTTGGGAAGAGGAGTCAGACGAGACGCAGCAGCCGCAGCAGCCGGAGAAGAGCTAGCAGGAAACGCCACTCGCTCCGTCCCTCCCTCCTTCCTTCCTCTACGTAGGTGTCTCCTCCCTCCCTGCTTTGAGGTGGGGAACGCGGCTTCTCTCCCATCTCCTGCTGCCCGCTGGCTGCCCAGGTTCCTGTCCCAGGATGGGCCTCCCCCTTGTGGAGGGATTGGGGAGCAGATGATAAGCATGGAGCAGGGGTCCCCAATTCCTGGTCCACGGACCGATACCGTTTCGGGGCTCCTTGGGAACCAATCTATGGCCAATTGGAAACCGGTCTGCGGCTGGTTGGGAATTAATCTGCGGCTGGTCGGGAACTGGTCTTTGTCTTGGGAACCAGTCCGCGCATGGCTTGGGTGAGCACATGAGCCTCCATTTGTGCATGCATGGGATGAGGCTCTCGTGTGTAAACGCATCCCTCACGGCCGCCACTGCCAGTCCATGGAACTGGAAAGGTTGGGGGCTGCTCGCGTGGGGGGGACGACAAGGAGGGCGCTCCCAAGATCTCTCTGCCCCCCACTGATCAAGCCCTTCCTTTCGTCTTGCAGGTTTCTGGAGGGTTGGCACTGCCATGGACAGCTTGCCCGGAGGGCCCTCCTGCAAGCAGAACGTGCTTGGAAGTGGCGTCTCCGGCTGTCTCCCCACTCCGGCGGGGCAGGAGAGGATGGCGGCCGCCCCTCCTTCGCTGCGGACTTGCGTGTGACAAGCAGCCTCGTTGGCGAGGCTTCCTGGCCCCTCTTCAGGGGTGGGAGTGTACGCTTCTTAGGGGGCTAATAAGCTGGTTTGGGCCCCACACGGTGCTATTTTTCTTAGGGGGGGGTCTCTCTCGGGTCAAGAGAGAAAGGGGTGGGAGGGGCTCTGCTCTCACCCTGTGCTTTCCCCCCCCTTCCCGTCCTCCCGGGCTGGCCCACCCTAAACCCTCCTCCCTACCATGCATGCTGTGACGGTCGCATCGCAGGGGAGTTTGGCAGGGGTAGGTGGGCAATAAATGTTTACAGGAACGACAAAGGGCCCCCTTGCTGTCTGTGGGAGTGGGAGGAAGCGGCAGGGGCAGATATCTCCCCCCCCGCCTTGTCCTTTGGGGAGGGGGTCTTCCGATGCCAGTCTGGCAGGCAGACCGCTGAGCGAGAAGAATGGGCTGCCGCCCCAGCTGGTAGGGAAGTGGTGGCGCCGATGGGCTCAGTGGTGCCAATGCAGAGGGAAGTCCCGGCTGGCACATCGTGGATGCCGGGATTGCCGAGTGGAGTGGGGAAGGGTCAGTATCCCCCTCCCCATCTCGCAGAGGGGAAAGGAAGGATCCGTTCTCTTGAAGTCGACAGGATGCTCCCTTCCTACTGTACATTTCTCCCGGAAGTGCCTCTGGGTGGGCTCGAGCCCCCACCCACCATCGCCCTCCTGGTTGGTTCCCCGGTGGATTAACNACCGAGGCGTCCGTCTACCAGCAGGCCGAGAACGGCAAGACGGAGCTCTCGCTGGTCCACTTTGCCATCGCCAACCCGCACTGGCAGCCGCCTCCCGAAAGCTCCCTCTTCATCGGGCACCTGAAGGAGAAGGTGCAGCAAGACGCCTCCCACGCCCAGCGCCTCCTGGCCGAGGGGCCCTTGGCGACCTCCCTGCTCTCTGACGAGGGTCCAGGCCCCGTGGTGAGTCCGGGGCGGCTGTGACCAGCCTGGGGTGGGAGCTGACAACCCTGGGTGCCTCTGACTGAACGTCTTTCCCTTTGCAGTCGGATGCCCTCCTGGCCAGCGTCCTGACCCACCCGGTCCTCACTGAGCGTCGGCTGGTTGCTCAGCCCGGCAGCACGGCCAGCGTGACGGCGAGCATCCTGGCCTCCCTCTCTTCTTCCCTGCCACCCCGGCACAGGAGCCGTCCCGGGGAGGCTTCGCTCTCACACAGCCAGAGCCCCCTCTTGGAGAACAGGTAGCCCCTTGGGGGAGGGAGGGGCAGCTGGGTGGGTTTCCCCAATACCACTTCTGGACTCCAACTCCCAGAATTCCCCAGGCAGCCGTGCTAAGGGATTCTGGGCGCTGGAGTCCGCCATGCTTCCATAGCTGACTAGGGAATTCTGGCAGTTGAAGTCCATCGCGATTGCGTAGCTGGTTGGGGAATTCGAGGGGAGGGGAGGGGGCAGGGAAGAGAGAGCTCAGCCCTTCCCCATCTGTGATTTGGGGACAGGGGGAAGTCTGACTCTGTTTTGCCCCCTTCCCCAACAGCGCTGCCCCACGCCCAGCTCCCCTCAGCCGCTCGGTTCTGCTCTCTGAGTTGGCATTGGCCGAGATGAGTCTACACGCCCTCTACATGCACGAGGTGAGTGGCAGGGACCGGGGAGGGGGCTGGCTGAGAGACAACCCCCCCTCCCACCATCTTTAACCACCCTCTCTCCTCTCTGCTTGCCCCTCCCAGCTTCACCAGCAACAAACAGCCGCCCGCCTCACGCTGCAGCCTTCGGCACAAACAGGTCAGAGCCCAGAGGGCAGGACTGTACCACTCGTGGCCCCTCTGCTCCCCCAAAAACTGCGGGTGGGTGGGCACGGAATAGCCGGGCTGTCACGCTGCGTGCCTTCCCCGGTGGCTCTGCCCTCCTCTCCCAAGATTCGAACCCTTCCACATTTAGTATCGGGACAGGAGGTGTCCTTTCCCCCAGCTGTGTCCGGAAGGCGCGTCCTGTGTCACGGGGCGGGGACTGCCCCACCTGGGCAGCGGGAGAGGGTTGCAAGTCTCATGCCCTCTTTCTCGGTGCAGCATCCCCTCGCCGTCTCTTCGATTCGCGCAGCCAGGACCGCTCACTGGAAGTTTGGGAAGAGGAGTCAGACGAGACGCAGCAGCCGCAGCAGCCGGAGAAGAGCTAGCAGGAAACGCCACTCGCTCCGTCCCTCCCTCCTTCCTTCCTCTACGTAGGTGTCTCCTCCCTCCCTGCTTTGAGGTGGGGAACGCGGCTTCTCTCCCATCTCCTGCTGCCCGCTGGCTGCCCAGGTTCCTGTCCCAGGATGGGCCTCCCCCTTGTGGAGGGATTGGGGAACAGATGATAAGCATGGAGCAGAGGTCCCCAATTCCTGGTCCACGGACCGATACCGTTTCGGGGCTCCTTGGGAACCAATCTATGGCCAATTGGAAACCGGTCTGCGGCTGGTTGGGAATTAATCTGCGGCTGGTCGGGAACTGGTCTTTGTCTTGGGAACCAGTCCGCGCATGGCTTGGGTGAGCACATGAGCCTCCATTTGTGCATGCATGGGATGAGGCTCTCGTGTGTAAACGCATCCCTCACGGCCGCCACTGCCAGTCCACGGAACTGGAAAGGTTGGGGGCTGCTCGCGTGGGGGGGACGACAAGGAGGGCGCTCCCAAGATCTCTCTGCCCCCCACTGGTCAAGCCCTTCCTTTCGTCTTTCAGGTTTCTGGAGGGTTGGCACTGCCATGGACAGCTTGCCCGGAGGGCCCTCCTGCAAGCAGAACGTGCTTGGAAGTGGCGTCTCCGGCTGTCTCCCCACTCCGGCGGGGCAGGAGTGGATGGCGGCCGCCCCTCCTTCGCTGCGGACTTGCGTGTGACAAGCAGCCTCGTTGGCGAGGCTTCCTGGCCCCTCTTCAGGGGTGGGAGTGTACGCTTCTTAGGGGGCTAATAAGCTGGTTTGGGCCCCACACGGTGCTATTTTTCTTAGGGGGGGGTCTCTCTCGGGTCAAGAGAGAAAGGGGTGGGAGGGGCTCTGCTCTCACCCTGTGCTTTCCCCCCCCTTCCCGTCCTCCCGGGCTGGCCCACCCTAAACCCTCCTCCCTACCATGCATGCTGTGACGGTCGCATCGCAGGGGAGTTTGGCAGGGGTAGGTGGGCAATAAATGTTTACAGGAACGACAAAGGGCCCCCTTGCTGTCTGTGGGAGTGGGAGGAAGCGGCAGGGGCAGATAGCTCCCCCCCTGCCTTGTCCTTTGGGGAGGGGGTCTTCCGATGCCAGTTTGGCAGGCAGACCGCTGAGCGAGAAGAATGGGCTGCCGCCCCAGCTGGTAGGGAAGTGGTGGCGCCGATGGGCTCAGTGGTGCCAATGCAGAGGGAAGTCCCGGCTGGCACATCGTGGATGCCGGGATTGCCGAGTGGAGTGGGGAAGGGTCAGTATCCCCCTCCCCATCTCGCAGAGGGGAAAGGAAGGATCCGTTCTCTTGAAGTCGACAGGATGCTCCCTTCCTACTGTACATTTCTCCCGGAAGTGCCTCTGGGTGGGCTCGAGCCCCCACCCACCATCGCCCTCCTGGTTGGTTCCCCGGTGGATTAACATCAAAAAGCCAGAAATGGGCCCCGATAACAGGGAGAGCTAGTGCTCGTGTTATGACTACAATCAAGGCCAAAAATTTCTGTTGCTAAGTGAAACATTTGTGAAGGGAATGTTGACAACTTTCCTGGCCATAGTTGTTAAGTGAATCATTGCGTTTGTTAAACTAGTCACACGGTCATTAAGCGAATCTGCCTTGCCTCTTGACTTTGCTGGTCAGACAATCACGTGACTCCGGGACACAGCGACCATTGTAAATATGAACCAGTTGCTGAGCGTCCGAATTTCAATCACGGGGATACTGCAACGGTCATAAGTTTGGGAAATGGTCCCTTTTTCAGTGCCGTTGGAACTTTGAATGGTCGCTAAGTGAATGATTGTAATTCGAGGACTACTCGTACATAGGAAAACTCCAATGGCCTGCCTGTTGGCGGTGGTTGCAAAATGGGTCATACCTGAGACCAACCAACTTGATTTTATGGTCTGTTTTGGGGCGGTCAATAAATGAATCAGTTGGAGGGGTGCAGTGGCCTAGAGGTGGAGCTCTGCCCTCACAATCGGGGGGCTGTGATTTCGATCCTAGGTAGAGGCAGGGATTTCTCTCTCTCGGCACACTGAGAACGTATGTGCTGAACAAAACTCCTCATTGGTGACAAGAAGGGCATCTGGCCATTAAAACACTCTGCTAGCTTGTTCAGTTGCCCTGACTCCGCCCCGCAAGGGATTATGGGGTCATTAAAAGGAGATGATGGTGAAGAATAAATGAATCAGTTCACTACGAGGCAGTTTGGCCAAAATGATGGACGTTGATAAGTTTTGGCAAAACCGTATAATGCCATCGATCGCTGCTGCAAATAGCACCCAAAATATGGTCCTGTAACCATGGGGGAGGGGTGAGGCAGCCGTCATATGTGGCCACGAAGAAAGTCCCTTGTAATTTTGAACAGTCGCTAATTGATCGGTCGTAAGCCGAGGACTCCCTATACACTTAGTAGCGGTTGTGGTGGGAAGTGACATTTCAAAGGTGCCCGGGTTCAGATTTGAGAAGCAGACCCAACCGGCCACCCCACCCATCCAAGAAGGAAGGATGACTGGGAAGGTGACCACGTAAGGTCTTTAATGGGAGTCCCGAGAAGAGGGAGGGAGGTAAGGCGCTCAGGGCTCTGTCACGAGGCAGCTTTTCCGGCCCTGCTTGGAGAAGGAGAGACTTCGGATGCGCGACGCCACTTCCTGTGTGCGGAAGGTCAGGCCGAAGATGTCCTCGTGGTAGCGGTTTTGGTCCTGTGGGTGGGGGTCGAAGGACAGAGACACAAGTTGAACCCCGAGCCAAGGCAAAGCTGAGCCACAACTTCTGCCCTCCCCCCGTCCCCTAGCATCCCGCCCGGCGTACCCGGAGTTCACTGATGGCGTCGCCCGCCTCGACCAGCGACATCCTCCCTTCCTGCGCCAGGATCTGCTGGATGGTCTGCAGGACCCCCGTGGCCATGGTGACATCCCCACAAACGTAGACATGGCCCTCGCGCTGGCTCAGGACTTCGAAGACGTGGTCTGCCAGGTGCAGCCGCAGCAGGTCCTGTACGTAGGTCTGGGGGAGCAGACAAAAGAGCGAGTGGGAAATGTGTCCCACGCTCGACGGCCACCCCGTCAGCATACCTTCCTGGCCTCAGGGTCACCTCCGGGGACGTGTTTTTGTGTCTGCCAGTGGAGACTGAGGACGAGCGGAAGCTCCCCTGGGATAAGACACGGGTCATCTGAAGGAGGGAGGTTCCATTTGGCTACCTTGGGGTAATCGGGGTCCCGCGAAAAGCCTGTGAGGACACGATGTAAAGCCCCCCTTTCCTGCGCTTCTCGGATCTCCTCGCAGTAGATGTGGTCGTGCTGGGAGCTACGGCAGCCAAAGACCAGGGTCATCTCGCTGGTGGACAGGCCTGGAAGGACAAGGTAGCCTTCAGTAAGGCGTTCGACAGCGTAGACCACAATCGGCTTGTACTGGGTTTGTTAAAAGCACATCACGTCAAACCAACCTTGTCAAAGTGACTAGCAGACCAGCGAAATGCCATAGAATACTTAGACTTCAATAAAGCATTGTTGTGGCCTGTTGGCCACCCCTCCCCCCTCCAGCAGCCGAATCAGAGGAGGAGGAGGACTGGGAGTCAGGGTCAGCATCAGGGCAACCCGGGAGCTCCGAGGGGGAAGAGGGAGGGGAGAGAGAGAGGCGGAGCCTGGGCTGTCTGTCAGCCTCGGAGAGTTAACAGCCTCCAGATCTGGAGGTGGTTGAAAAGAGGAGGAACAGCTGGGTCCAGTGCCTGACGTGTGGATGCGCAGAAGGGAGAGGAGAGGAGAGCAGGGGAAATCTATGGGCCGGTCCTTGGGACGGAAGATCCACTGCTGCTGGCGAAGCCCCACACTAGCTCTGGGGAGAAAAGGCAGGGGGCGGAGATGAATAGATGTGGCAGAGATGATGAATACGTGTGGCAGAGAAGTATTCATCTCCCGGCCGGACAGGCTTGTTAGCCTGTGAGAGAAACTTTTCCGGCCGCTGGCATTCCTAATAAAGGAATAATTTGAGTTCACGTCAGAGGGTCTGTCTGTGTCGTGTTTGGGGAGCTGGGTAAAAACGGACGTTCGACAGAGTAGACCACAACCTACTTCTTAGTAAACTAGAAAAATGTGGGACGGACGGCATCGCCACTAGATGGAGTTGTAACCGACTGACAAACTATACTCAACGAGTAGTCCTTAACAGCACAACATACACATGGAGGTAAGCAAGCAGTGGGGTACCACAAGGTTCTATCCTGGGCCCAGGACTCCTCAGTGGCTTCATCGATGACTCAGATGAGGGAATGGAAGGAGAAATCACCAAATTTGTAGAGGATACTAAACTGCCAGGAACAGCCAACACCCCAGAAGACAATTTCAGGAGCCAAAAAGATCTTGAACAATGAAATTTAATGTGGAGAAAAGCCAGGTTTTATACCTGGGCGGGAAACACTCAAGGTACAGGTACAAGGTAGGCTCAAAAACGGGGAGATGGACTTTAAAGTCCTATCAGACAATCCTTGAAACAAGTCAGCTGTGTGCGGCAGCTGCCCAAAAGCCTCAGGCAATCCTGGGTTCTCTAAACAGAGGCGTAGAATCAAAATCACAGGAAGGGTTAGTACCGCTTTGTAAGACTGGGGGGGGGGGGAGAGACAGGATAGCAGCCTTCCAGTGTTTGAGGGGCTGCCCCCAAAGAACAGGAGGTCCACTTATTTTCCAAAGCACCAGAGTTGAGAAACAACGGATGGAAACTAATCAAGGAGAGAAGTAACCTGGAATTAAGGAGAAACTTCCTGACAGTGAGGACAATTAACCAGGGGAACTGCTTGCCACCAGAGGTTGTGAGTGCTTCGTCACTGGAGGTTTTTATGAAGAAATTGGACTGCCACTTGTCTCAAATTGCTTGAGTAGGGGGGTTGGATTAGATGACCTCCAAGGTCCCTGCCAACTCTGTGGTTCTGTAATTCTGTAAGGGTCTCCTGCTTGAGCAGCAGGTTGAACTAGAAGACCCCCCAAGTTCCCTTCCAGCACTGTTCTGATTGATTGACGTTTGTCAGCGACCACCGGCACCCTTCCCCTCTCCCCGGGACAATACCACTCCCCTCTGACTCACCTGTTGTCTCCATCTGGTGTTGCCGTTGCTGCCAGAAACCCCGGAATGGGGCGATACCAGTGCCGGGCCCCACCAGGATGCAGGGAGCCGTGGGGTCCTCCGGTAGCTGGAAATTTGGGGTGCTTTAGGGCCAAGAGAGGAAGCAAATTACTTGTGGGGTCTCTTCCAGTAGCCCTAATTATAATTGAGCCTTTCTGTTAACTGGCGAACCATTGGCAATACCCCTGCTGAGATGGCACCCCAAATGTCCATGGGTCTCCCCAGCAGAGCCCCCCCTTTTGGTCCCCTGGCTGCAAGCTTCGGGGATTAAGGACTGCCTCCTATATTTTATAGTCTGATTCACTTCGGTTTGAGGGTCTTCGTCAACCCCCACCCCAAATTCTCCTGATGCAAAGACCGCCAAAGAGACTTTGCTTGAACTCTGCGATTCGGAAGGGATTATAGAGCATTTAATGCACTCCTGGGTCACCCATCCCATGACGAGCTCCAGATATAATGGAAAACACGGCAGCTCCTGGCTCTCAGAAGACACAGAAGCAGCATGGGAGGTGGGGGACTAAGGCCGTCTCCCCCCTCCCACCTTCCCTCTGTACAAGCAACACAGATCAGCCCCCTGCCTTCCTTCCTATTGGATGGGGATGGCACTGAATCTCGAATCGGACATCACAATTGCAGCCACCTCGGAACTGTGAAAGGACGACTGTCTTGGGCAATGGGTTGGACTAGAAGACCTCCGAGGTCCCTTCCAGCCCTGTGAGTCTATGTTGCCTATGATCTACATTTGGATTCTTGACAATGGGCTCGTGTTTATGTAGGTTGCAATGTCCCGCGATCTCCTTTTGCAATCGTCAGACAAGCCAATCAAGGGGTGGGGAGTCCAGAGTCACTTAACAGCCATGTCACTAATTTAACATCCGCAGGGATTCACTTAAGTAATGTGGCATGAAAGGTTTAGGTTTCGTTTTATTTATATGCCGCCCTATTCCCAGCGGGACTCAGGGCGGCGCACAAACCCAAGGGGGGAAAAGG